TCACACATAGATCCACTCTGGGAAAATACAGTCCTGTGGGCTCTTAGCAGCTCTATATGCTGGGCTCACTGTCCACAAGTCCCACACAGTTACCCCACAGTCTGGTTTGTAGGCATCTAAGGTGGAGGCACCAGCCACCGGCCCTCCCCTGCCTACCTTGTCCTGGCAGTCCAGGGTTTCTCCAAGCCAGTCCTGGTCAGGGATTTCTCCTGTCCTTCTGTGTTCCTTCTATGTCTGAAGTTTCCAGGTCTTGGGGGTGGTTTCCTAACTGTTAAGGGGGATTCTGTTGTTTTCTCCTAGACACACTACTCTTCAGGTGACTATCTGTTTGCTGCTTTGGACTTTCTTTGCACTAGAGGCAAGGGCTGGCCACCTCTAGTCAGACATCTTGCCAAGCATTCTAATTTTGTTTTATAATTTTATAAATTATTTTCATGGTTTTAAAGTCAAATATACAAAAGGATATATATTAGAAGAAATTTAGCTTCCATCCCTGTTCCGTGCATCCTATTCCTTCACTCCCCTATAGATAACTTTTACATTTATTTTATGGTATATCCTTCCATTGTTTGTTTTTATAATATAAGCCGATATGTGCATATATCAAGAGAGAAGGAGAAGAATTATGCTCCTCCTTTCTTAAATAAATGTGCTACAACTACTGTTTGAGTAATTTGGAAATACCTAATTTGTTGAAAATGTGTTATACTCTGTGACCCAGCTATTTCACCTATATGGGCCACACAGGGAGACATGTTCTAAGATGTTTATTAGAGCATTGTTTATAATAGGAAAAATTAAAAGCTAAATGTTAGTTAATAGAAAATGTATAAATAAAATATATCTAGCATATTAATACACTATAATGCTATGTTGATATTTTAATGAATAAATTAGGTCTGTATGTATCAACATGGTTACTAATGTAGTCCCAGTTATGTTTCATGATAGCTTTGGCTTTTTCTATACCTGTAAATTCAAAAGTCATTAATTTTGTGACTATATAGCTAACATGTGTATGTGAGTGGTTTGATTGTTTGTGCTGGGCATTTCAAAGGCCACTAAGTTTAACATCTTATTCTTTATATCTAGTAACTCAATAAGTAGGTAAGATATACATTTGAAAAGTTGACAGTAAACAAGAACAATGCAATTGAGATCACAAGACATTGTATGTAGCCTCTGACCTATGCAATCCTTTTTTTATTTCATTCAAAATATTTTAACATGTACTTATATATATTTATGAGGTACAGTATGTTGTTTCCAATATGTGGTATACTGCACAATGATTCACTTAGGCTGGATAGCATAATTTTGTACTCATTTGTCCACCACTTTTCCTCCCCGCTCTTTTGCCCCCCCCCCAGCCTCTGGTAACCATTATTCTACTCTTATAAGAATTCTATAAGAAATGCTTTTTCTTAGACTCCATATATGAGTGATATGTGGTATTTGTCTTTCTGTGCCTGACTTACTTCACTTAACATGGTGGTTTCCAGTTCCATCCATGTTGCTACAAATGATAGGATATTAATTTTTTGTGTAGCTGAGTGGTATTCCATTGTGTATATATACCAGTTTTTTTACCCCTTCATCCGTTGATGGACATGTAGGTTGATTCCACCTCTTGGCTATTGTGAATAGTGCTGCAGCAAACATGGGAGTGCAGATGTCTTTTTGATACATTGATTTCATTTCCTTTGAGTATCTACCCAGTAGTGGGATAGCTAGGTCATAGGGTAGATATATTTTTAGTTCTCTGAGGAACCTCCATAGCGTTTTCCACAATGGCTATACCAACTTACACTCCCACCAGCAATGTAGGAGAGTTCCCTTTTCTCCACATGCTGGCCAGTATTTGTTATTTTTTGTCTTGTTGATGATACCCATTCTAACTGGGATGAGATGATATCTCACTCTGGTTTTAATTTGTATTTCCCTGATGATTAGTGGTTTTGAGCATTTTTTCACGTGCCTGTTAGCCATTTGTATGTCTTCTTTTGAGAAATGTCTGTTCAGGTCCCTTGCCTATTTTTTAATTGGGTTATTTGGGGGGGTTTGCTGGTGAATTAAAGTTCCTTATATATTCTGGATATTAGCCCCTTGACTGATGTGTAGTTTGTAAACATTCTCCCGTTCTGTAGGCTGCCTCTTCACTTTGTTGACAGTGTACCTTGCTATGCAGAAGCTTTGATGTAGTTCGATGTAGTCCCATTTATGTATTTTAGTTTTAGGTAATTGTATCTTTGTTGCCTCTCTCAAAAAAGTGCTGCCCACTCCCATTCTTTGTAGCATTTCCTCTATGTTCTCTTCTAGTAGTTTCATAGTTTCAGGTCTTAGATGTAGTCTTTGATCCATGTTCAGTTGATTTTTGTGACTTACACATCCTTTAGAAAGTCCATTATATAATTCCTACCAAGCATAGACCTGATCACTGACTGGAATAATTTGTTCTTTTCTAGCCTTGTAGATCTTTTACCAGGGTGAGGTCATTGGAGGCAACAGGGAAATGGCAAAGAAAATATCTCCTCTACTTTCCCCATGCCTGTATACAGTCCTGCCTGCCACTCTTATCCACGTAATGAAATGCTCAGAGTAAATTTTGTGAGGAGAAAAATCGCTATGCCTACATACATACATTTGAACTGTGTCCTTTTTACCTTACAACCTAAATGCAGTCTTCTTAAAATTTTCCTCATTAAAGCATAAAACCTGTCTCACCAGAAATAAGGGTAAAATAGATAGTTAAAATAATAAAGTGATAATTATAATTATAAGATATAAAAATATAGTTTTGCTAGGTAATTAACCTATATTTTATCTATGCATTCGTTAAAACATAACATCTTTCATAGGGGACTTTAGTAGTACTCAAGCTAAAAATAATTCTAGTTCATGATTTTTCATCTTATTTTTAGAAAAACCTGAGCTGTAGATATATTTTGTCTCTTTCCTAATGATTGCATTTGAAATGTTGCTATTCACAACCGGTAACTGCCAGTGTCTCCTGTATTGATTTTATACCTATTTGTATTAATTAATTATGAATATACAAGTGTAATTGGGGTAGGTAATTATAGTCCCAAGTTACTAAAATAAAAAATAAAGCAAGTTTTTTAGAGGAATGTTTCATATAAACTTTTATATGTAAAAGCAGTCTTTAATATTAACATTCACATAAGAAAATAAGCATAGAAAATATTCTGACATATTCCTGACAGGTCCAGTCATAGGATTTTTTATAAGGTAAATATAAGTACTTAATTTTTAAAAATTGGAATAGCATATAACTTTCTTTTACATGCAATATTCTAGAACAAGTCTGTCAGGAATGTTTGATATGGCTGGGATCATTTTAATAGCTATTCATTGCTGTTCTAACATATACTTTTATTAGAGGAGAGGAGATTTATTTTTAGAAAATAAAAAAGATGAAATCATTTTTCATAGTTAGGCCTATTAACTTTGAGGTTTTCTCTTGGCTTTGGTTTATTCCTTTCTTTCCTTTTCATTTGTGATTAAGTTTTTTATCCCTTTTGTTATTAAGCATTATTATAGGAAGATAAATGCGTTCAATTCTTTTGTAATATTACACTATTTTAAATTCCTGGTGAGTAAGAAGTATGTGTTTGAATTCTTCATCTTTCCTTACAACTCAATCTGATATTTTACCTTGTAATACATTTTCAATAAGTCTCCAGCTGGGTTTAAGAAATTGAGCAAGTGGTCTGAGAATAAGGAATGAAGTCTGAAAAGCAAAAGTGATATATTAACCATATGGAAGTCTTGCTGCTGAAGCCACCTTCTGCCTCAGCAAAGTTTTTAATGCTAGGATAAGAGTCAGCACTAGGGCAAGACAGCCTGCAAGGATTCAACTCAGCAACCTTGGTAAACTCTGAAATAGAGTTGCTGTGATCTTGCCCTCAGCTTGCAGAACTGACATGAGAGTCTTGTTCCAATATCAATTTTTTTTCTGCTTCTAGCATATGTCTTCAGTTCTCAGGGTATATTATCCATTAAAAATATTATTTGGGCCAAAATCCTTAGCACAGTATCTGACACATAATAGGTGCTCAATAATTATTTGCCGAATGCGTAAATAAATGTCATAATGTCCAAGGGATAAATTATATTCTGCCTTAGAAACTAAATGTGTTAGATGAATTGTACATAAATGATAAATTTACTTGATGGTAGAGAATAAGCAAGAATTGAGGGTGTCTTTCATCTCAATTTAGTTCCCTCTTTGTTTTCCACATTATTTATACTTGAAAGGAGTGTCATATATAATAAATAAATGGTCCTTCTGAAGGCGAGATGTATCCAAGAAAAAGACTGTATTTGTTCAGGCTGCTTTTAGCAGAGATTAACAAAATTTTATTTAAAGCTGAAATTCCACCAATACTGAATGATCTCCTAACAAGTACTATTCTCATGAATATGACTTAACTTGAATTTGTCACTTAATATAAAATGAATATATGCTTTTTTTTTTTTTTTTTGTCTTTTTTGTGACCTATAATGGGATTGCAACCCTTGGCTTGGTGTCGCCTGCACCATGCTCAGCTAGTGAGCGCACCGGCCATCCCTATATAGGATCCAAACCCGCAGCGGGAGTGCCGCTGCGCTCCCAGCGCAGCACTCTCCCAAGTGAACCACAGGGTTGGCCCAGAATATGTTTTTTTAAGAGTATTTAGAAAATATAGAAAAATTATAAAGCCAATAATTACAAATCTCTATAATTTCAGCAACAGAGAAAATAGTATCACTTTTAATATTTTGGAGGAAAACTTTATATTGAAACAGAATTTAGTTCTTTCCTCACTATAATAAGAATGATTTTTTGCATATTCATTTTATATTTTGTAGGTGGTTGTTTGATTTTTAAAGTTACTTAAACTATTCCTCATTAATCTGTGCTTCTTTTTTTTGTAGTGAATGACTTGATTTGGTTAGTTTATAAGTCAATTGTTTCTATCTCATTGTGTTTTTAACAGATCAAGAAAGTGCAAGTGCTAGAATCCAAGTGAGAGCCAGAAAAAATATAAGCGATAGGTGGGAGAGTCAGCTGTGGAGAGAGAAGAAGTTTGGCTTCAAAAATCACCTACATTACAGCCATGTTTATCCTGAAAGTATTCCACGGAAATTTATTTACGAACACAGAAAATTTCTTACCGAGCAGTATAATTCTCAGCCTTCAAAATACATACCACCAGAAGGAAGGCCCCTAAAACTTGATGATTTTAACAGTGCTCGAAGCCTTGGACATTTTGAAGTAACCATCTTAGGTAAGTCAACAATTCTTCTCTCTGAATATTATTAATTTAACATATTTTAAATACATATACTATTTTGCTTTAAAAATTTAAGCCCCCTCCCCGCAAAAGTTAAGCCCAAGTGGGGAGCTCCTGTTTGGCTCAAACAAAAGGACTGGAGCACTAATTCTGGAATGTTTTAAAAAACTCTAATTGTGGCCTTTTAAACACCGGCAAGTCCTTGGAAAGTATTTGGGGAGAGAAGAATGGAAACTAAAGGAACTTTCCTCACTCCCGACTATTTCCTAGACTGGTTCTGTTCTCCCTTATGCACCACTTTTTTGCCCATATTCTCTACTTCTTTCTCAGTACATCTGAAACATTGAAGGGTAAAGTATAAGTTTTAAAAAAAGGGGTACTAATAAAGAGAAGCCCCTATGAAAAGAGGTCTGTTTAGCCCCTGAAGAAAATAAAATTCTCAAGTAACTTAAATTGAACAGAAAGAAGTTATTGAAAAGACTTCCCTTGTCTAGTAAGGGAAAATAAACTGACTTTCCCAAATTGCTCCAAACTGAATTTATAAAAATTTAAAGGAGTAAAAACACTTTTAAACTTAAGTTTATTTTTTAAAGTTGTTTCTAATAAATGAAAACTTTACACAAAAAATGATTCTAAAATAATATCTCCGCCAAAATGTCTCTCAGAGTCAAGGAAAAATTTGTATTTGTGTTTGTGATTCATAGGAAGATCTTAGCACTAGGTCTTGTTACCTTAAAATAAATAAATGAAGAAAAATTATTAGCAAATTAATTTAATGGCTGAAAAAAGTAGTTCATAGCTTTTTACATCTATTGTACTAGAATGAATTGCCTTGACTTTTATCAAGATTATTTTATCCTAATTATTCTCTCCCACCCCCTCTTCTCTACCTTCTCACACATAAATATGTACATACATGTGAGTAAGTATGTGTATAATTTATTAAAAGTATGAATTTCCACTGACTTTGTTAGACAATCACAGACCTAAGTAAGTTTCAATTGCTTCTTTTCACTAGACTGCATTTCTTGGTCTCTCCAAGTAGTTTATCAACCTCAGTATTATGTTTAGGAAACAAAAATTATAGCAAGATTTCCTATACCTCACAAAAAGTAATCATGGAAATAATGAGTTCATCTGGGAACATAAATTGAATATTTTTCTTCCTTTTAATATGTTACCGATCCACTGAAACAGATTGACTAAGACATATCTCATCAGTCTTACATGTAATTGTAAACTTTTGCAGCTTTTTTTTTTGTCAGCTAAAAACAAGAATCAAATGCAAAGAAGGCAAATTTATCATTCTGCCCACCAGCTATAATCCATGTTAGAAGTATGCTGTTTTTATATAAATTTTATATCCTACCTGTTTTCAAGGACAGTTTGCAGGTTAAAGACAGTGAAAAATACGCTGTTTATGAAAAAAAACAAAACAGAACATTTTAAAGGAAACAGAAAAAGTAGATGTTACTAGGTACTTACATATAACCAAATTACTACCATTTGGCAGTAATTTTCCCTGAGCTTTCTGGCAGGGAGAGAGAAAGGGGTTTTTTTTCGGGGGGGTTGTTTTTTCTGATAACATCTTTAATTTTAGAGCTAAAAGAAACTCCTGACTAGATCAAAGCCAGGCCATGATTAGAAATCAGATCTCTTGAGTCTCTAAACATATTTTCTGTTGCAGAGAAAACAAACACTCATATAGAGGAGCCCTGTTATTTATTTTTTTCTCAAACAAAATTCCAGTCTGAACTTACTATATGAAATTATTATATAAATAGTACATGATAACAAATGGGTTGATATCTTAAACTACAGTTTTCTTTTTTAAAGGTATGGAAATGTTCCTCAGATAGTTTATTCCTGCATCAACCTTATAATATACATAATCTGTATAATCATTTGTCATATCTTCGTAAGGCACTTCTATGAATGAGTATATTTTCACTTTATTAGTATATAATCTGAGTACTTTGCTCTCTAATGGTCTAACAATATAGGGATAAAATCTAGAAAACCAAGATAAATGGTACTGGATCTAGTGATTCTAATATAATCTTGGTGGGAGGGAGTAGCCTATCAAAATCATCTGAGGGAGGCCTACCCAAACTCCTTGTAATTCTGGTACATGCTAGAGAAGCAGTCCTTTTAGCCTCCTGCTCCATAAGGGAGACTTAAATCATGGAGAGCCAGTGGCAAGAATGCACTCTGTTAGGTATGCAAGAGTAAAATAAAGGTTGAGAACCACTGCTCTCTAAGTAGTACTTGAAATATAGACAGACATTCTCTGATACTGGTTAAAATGCGAGCTGACTATCAGATGTGAAAGAGGTGAATTTGTCCTATCTTTTAGGAAAGTATGAACCCAAGTTGTATTACAAGACCAGACAAATGATCCATATCTTTTAAGCATAGATGTGAGCAATGAACTCAGAAGAGAGTACTGAATCTCGTATTAATGTCCTATTTGTTAAAAGTTAGAATCTTAAAACTGAAGGATGACTTTAAGAGTATTGTACAAGGGGCACACGTGTTCAGTAGGGAGCCACGTAGTAAATGTTTGAGGCCTTGCAGGCCATACAGTTTCTGTTGTAACTACTCAGCTCTGCTGTTTTATTTTTCATCTTTTTTTAATTTTACATTTTTCAAGACAATTAAAACACTGAAGTAAAAAAGACTTTGTGACTACTATGACATGAAAAGGACTTGTCAGAGATTTTCAAGCTGTTGCTGAATTAATTACTATGGAATAATGATTTCTAAAACTTAAAAATAATCTGTGAAGAATAAATTATCATTAGTGGGGAAAAAAAAAAGCCAAACAGGAGAAGTAAAAAAGGTGATGCCAAATTGCAACCTTTACAAGGCTTGTAACCAACATGCTAATGTTATCTACGAAGTAGTTTTATATTTATTTATTCTACTTGGCCAGGTCCCTTGGGTCCTTTCTCTGGATAAATATTTTTAACTACTGAAGTGACTACAAATGAAAAAAAAGTTGACTACTATCCCCAAACCTGTTATTACTGTAACTAAGCCTTCACTGAGTCTTTCAGAAATAAGGAATGTGAACCATGAAAACACAACAAGGGCTATACTAAGCTATATTAAGGAAGTCTGGTTTGGCTGGACTACCTTCTGGCAGAGCAAAACCCCATCTGACCCCCCCCCCCCTCCAAGAAAGATAGGAAACTGGCTCCATAAGCCCTCCGAGTAGAAGTTAATACAGAGAAAACAGTCTTTGTCATCATGACCAGTGGTGGAGCAACGAAAGGGATTAGTCCTGACAGAGTTATGTATAATGCTGGCTTTGGGCTGTCAGGCGGGTAAGTGATGGTCAGCTCTGCTGTTTTAGTGTGAAAGCAGTCATAGACATTATGTAAATGAATTTCTGTAGCTGTGTTTGAATAAAACTTTATTTATGCACACTGCAATTTGAATTTCATATTTTCATGTATCACAAAATATTATTATTTTGATTTTTTAACTATTTAAAAATATAAAAGCCATTCTCAGTTCATGGGATGTACAAAACCAGATGCAGGCTAGATTTGGCCCCAAGGTCATAGTTTGCTGACCTCTTTTCTAGACTCTGTTCTAAGTTAAGACTGCCTAAACCAATCCAGGCAGAGAAATCTGTATGATGTTTAAAGTTCTCCAAGCACAAAGATTGTCAAACTTACATTGATACTATCTTCTAGTGGTTTATTATCCCTTTGCCATATCTTGCTAATGTCTAGAGGAGCCAGCAATTTTGAAGTGCCTTATTCTTAAACCCAGAAAGGTTATTCGGACCACAACCCAATCATTAGTCTTCCTTCCCACAGTCCTAATGGCTCTCAACAACCAGGTTGGTACTGTGGTAATATCAGAAACCTAACCCAGAAGCATTGGTTCTTGTCTTAAAATCCTTGCTACACCATCTCACTTACCTCAAATCAATACGAGGAAGTTCATGGAAAAATAGAATTAAAAGATAATACAAATTTTTTCGTGAACTTTTTGAAATACCCTCATAGATATGAAGCACTCAAACCTCAGCCCATTGCCTATTATGTAAGATCACACACTTTGAATATACTGAGATGAAGTAACAAACTAAATTTTCAGCGCTTATAGCCCAGGTACAAAATTTTAAATCTGTTGGTCAGTCTCTTTCAATTTTAAGAATTATTTCTCTCCCTAAATATAAGAAGGCACTTTTCAAAAGCTTGATTGGACTTACAGATGTTATTAGTATATCGTCAATTGTACTAACACTGATTTAGTCACCCATAAAATCCTATGAGTTGATCAAAATTCGAGTCCTCTCTTCAATTTGCATTTGATTTAGACAGTTAGGAACATAATCTAGCCAGCTTTTTATAAGTCTCTGAAGGCCATCGATTTGTCTTTTGGAAGTCAAGAGATATAAACTTCAATAATAGCATTAATTGGTGAGTGAACCAACAGTGAGGAAACCCAGTGCTACTCAGCTAATCGTTCAAGTAAGCTTTCGGCATACCTCAGAGATACAAGTAATTGGTCCTGAATCTGCAGGCTAATACCAAGGAGGGAAGGAATTATGTCAGTCTTGGCTGCTTTAATAGGAGAAAAAATTCAAGATAAGTAGTGTCTTATTATTTCAATTTAACTATAGCATATTAAATTACCTTGATGTCACAATTAATGCTATTAAAATTTTAAATTATCTTTTAAATGCATTTTAGAGAAAAGGAAAAGAACAAAGCATATGACAAATTTTGTCCAAAAAAAATCCTTTGACAAAACTAAAAAAGATTATTTTAATAGCTCTTCTCATATCATAGCCTTGTTATTGGGATTTGTACAGGATATTTATGTTCGCCTCTTGGTAATGGGAATATGAGTAAATTTATATTTGAACACTAATGGACAAATGCCTTAAGTATTGGAAAAATTATAGGTAAACACACAAATGTACATTTATTTACTCAATTTAACAAATGTTTCTGAGCACTTAGTGTGTGCCTAGCACTGTTCTAGGTGCTAAAGTTATGTTAGTGAACACAACAGATAAAAACCCTGCCCTAAGAGAGTTTATTGTAGAGTGAGGTGGTGATATGTGCTAGGGGAAAAAAGGGGGGGGCTGAGGTGTGCTGTAGTAAGAAAGGGTTAAATTTTAAATAGAATGGTCAGCAGAGGTCTCCCTGAGAAAGTCAACATTTCACCAGAAGCCTAAAGGAGGTGAAGGAGCAAGCCACGTGGTTATCTGGGGAAAGAACATTGTAGGCACAGGAGCAGCAAGCACAGAAGCCCTGATGCCTGTTGACTTACACATTTACACTCTGAACTCTAGTTTTAATCAAACAACTGAGAACAAATTTTACTGATAATGTTGAAGTTAAACTCACAGTGCTTTATAATTTAGAAAGCAACTCAAAATATTAGTAATGACACACTGATAATAAAGATACCTTCCTGAAAATATCAGGATTTCCAACTTCTGATATTTTCTCAGTTCTAAGGCATACTTTCTTTTTTACATTTTCAAGTCGGAATGCATCTTATGGTCAATGGGTACATTTAATGCAGTGTTTTGTTTTTATAAAAAAAAAACTTATTAAGTTCAATCTTAAGAGTTAAGTTTAGCCTTAGAATCAAGGAAATAAGATACCAGCATGTGCACATTCACAGGAGTTTTGCTACATTGCTTAGAATTGTGGGGTAGGTATACCTCTTATAATATTGAATTGAATCCTCAGGAAATTCTGGATAGCATGATTGTTTTAGCTTATGAATACCAAATTTTAGTAATCCTCAAAAAGCTTTAAGTGGCCTTTAGTTGTATGCTAAATTAAAGCTATGCGATTTAGTGTCATTTGCCCATAAAAAGCAAAGAACTTGCATTTCTGGATCAGTTTGCAACTTAATAATAGGGGACTTTGATTACTCGTCATTGGCCCTGAGAATCGCTACAAGGGAATAGGAGAAATGTTAAGGTCACAGAGTCAAGGTGACTAAATATCCAGGAAGAGTGAAAGGGAGGAATTAAGGATAAACTCCCAGGTTTCTGGTTTGGGTGACTGGGTGGAATTCATAGTTTTAAAGCTGTGTTCTGTGTGTTTATTTACCCTTGCTCCAGCCAGGATTGTCTCCTTACTCTGGTCTATACCTTTTGCTTGTGCTACTCCCTGTTCTGTTGGAAATGCCTTTCTCTATCTTTATTTAAATGCTACTCATCCTTTAGTATCCAGATCAAACCCTCCCTTGTCCTCTTCTAGGAAGTCTTTTTTTATCTGCCCTAACTGACATTGACCCACATAAAGAGATGACAGTCCTCTGGATAGTAAGATTTCAATCTTCCATCAGTATGGAAAACATTTTGAATTTTTATTTTCAGCAGTGGTGATAGGTTGCACTATAGTGTCTACTCTTTGAACCAATAGCATGTATTCATAAATTGCTTGTTAAGCTGAGTTGAGTCTGCAGTTTTGAAATGCAGGTTTTCCAGGTCTGAAGCTATTTGGCACTTTAAGTTCAAACCAGCAAATGTGCCCTCATTAGCACCATATACAAACCCATTGAACTTTTAATAATCTGTGATTTTTTTCTCCAACAGGTCTGAACCATGATATAGCAATTGACGTTGCATTTCTGCCCATGTACTGTCCAGAAGATCTCCGGACATCTCAAGTAGACACATTGTTAACCTGCATGAATTACAGCTGTGTATATCCACAGGAAGTAACTGCCAATGACCAACTTTCAGGTTCAAGAGCACTTGCAGGTAAGATAATCTCAGAGCTCTTTTTACTCAGAAAAAAATAATTAATTTTAGAAACAGACCAACCTAACCTTAAGATTTTATTATGTAAACACTTATAGCTTTAAAATGTAATGTGGTTTAATTAAAGGGTCATTTGGTAACTGTACCCCAAGACTTATAAATGAGAATATGCCTTTTAAATAAATTGAACAGCTTGTTTCTGTTCCAGGCAGGCATTAAGAATATTCTCTTACAGTATAATTCTAAATCTAATTATTTTATCAGACCTAAGTGGTATGCACACGGAGCAATGCAAATTCTACTCTTTTCTCCTTTTAATTCAGGCAAGACAATTTGTCATTTTACACTATAATTGCCTGAAATCATAATACCTCCACAGTATAGTACAGTACAATTGTTTTCTCTTATAAGTGTTTAGTTATTCAAGCGTCATTTAATAAATTCCTTGAGGACTGTTAGGAGTGTATGTAATCCCAGTAGTGAAACTCTTCAATGAACTAATTATTTAGGCTACTGCATAATATACCAAACTTTAATTTCTATATACCTGTAAAATCATCTGTCCAATTCACTTGCTGTTGTTATTTCTATTCCCAAGCATGTGGTAAAGTTTCTAGCAGTTTTCAATGAGCTTATCAAGATACTACATTTAAAAGAGCTTTTAAGAAAACCTTTATTATCTTGGGATTTTGTAGTGGGTCTTTCTAAGCTGATGAAACTCTTGAGTGTATGTTGTTTTTGAATGAGTCTTATGAGCTGTGCCTGATGATGAAGTAACTTTTGGCATTAGCTGCAAACTGAACTTGAGTATCTAATTTTATGAGATGAGTTCCCCCCACACACACAGTCCATTTTAAAGATGATATATTAGTTGACTTGTGGCATTACCTCCTGCATTGCAGCTTCTTAGACTTTCAGTAATTCCAAATTTCTTTTATTTTTCTTTTCTTTTCTTTTTTTTTTTTTTTTTTTTTAATAAGGAGAGGGAGCTCCCATGCCCCAGGAGGAGTTCCCTTCAGTCTTTGCAGGGTCTTCTTTTCCCAAAAGGACAAGTGATTTACAAGATTATAGGGGAGGAAGTGAAAACAAGGTGCTCAGCGACTTTTCCCTCTCTTGTTAGAGGGGCCTTGCCTCAGGACACAGTTTCTCTTGCCCTTTGACCCTGGATGAGCAGTTTACCCTGCATGGAAGGGCTGCAACTGTTCATTTCTGCCTGTGGCTAGATGGGATACAGGGAAAGAAAAACAATGTTTTTGAGGTGAAATTAATTTAATTTTTTTATTCAGAATATTTTAACATTTACTGGTAAATATTTGAGGTGTACAATGTGTTGTTTCAATACATGCACATATTGCACAATGACTCACTTAGGGTACATAGCATAGTTTTGTGCCCATTAGTCCACCACTTCTCCTCCTCCCCCCACCCCTGGCCTCTGGTAGCCATTATTCTACTCTCTATAGAGTAGAAAGTACTTCTATGAGAACCACTTTTTTTTTTTTTTTTTAGATTTCACATATGAATAATATCATGTGGTATTTATCTTTCTGTGCCTGACTGGAAACCATCATGTTAAGCCAAATTTCTTAATTAGTGCCCTAATATATATTTTAAATATTTGTGCATTCATGTTCTTGTTTCATATAATATCCACTTCTGTCACGTCTTATCCTATATGTATATGCTATTATTGATATAAAATATCAGGTCAGAGTTCTCAGCTATCTGCTTGTTGCTAGTGCCGATCACTAACATGATCACATTAAAAATGCCTGGTACCATTCTGATAAAGCAGTTAATATTTGGGACATCAATGACAAAAATCACTACGGAAGAAAATGAAGTGGTAGTCAAAAGCAAAGTGATACATTTTAAGTGAAATACCATGTTTTTTATGATGTAGCATTAATAATAATAATAGTATCCATTTAAGTCTGTGCCAAGCACTGTGCCTGGGCTTTTTACATAAGTTACTATTAATCCTGATAAGAACCTTGCAACGTGAACATTACAATCCCCTACTTATAGATAACTAGACTGAAAATCAGGGTGATTCACCAGCATGGGTAACAGAGCTAGAATATGAGCCCAGATTTGTCTGACTCCAAACTTTTTCATTACTTTCATGATTTATCTTTCATGAAAGATAAAAATAGTTACATAGTGATGGAATACAGTGGCTCATGGTATAACACTGGTGTCATCTTTTAAACGTTTTTCATAGACTAATTTATTATTTAAAAAGCTATACATGTTAGTAATTTGAAAATTCAAACAGTACAGAAAGGTACTGAGTAAAAGTGAAAATTCCCCTCCTAGCCTTTCCAGGTCCGGCCTTTTCCACCAACCCACTCACCTACTCTCTGAAGATAACCAGTATTCTTTGAATCCTTTTAAAAAATTATTTTTGCATATAACAGTATTTATTCTATTTCTCTCTCTCTCTCTCTCTCTCTCTCTCAAAGAAATATACACAAATGGAATTATAGTAAGCCTATGATTTCATAACCAGCCTTTTCCCTTTGACAGTATATCTTGGACATCTTTCATATTAGTACATAGAGAGTAACCTCATTCTTTTTAATAACTACAAAGTGTTCCACTATTTGGATATAGCAAAATTTACTTATCCAATTCCCTACTGGTGGACATTTAGATTGTGTCCAGATGTTTTTGCTATTAGCAAATAGTACTGCAAAGAATATCCATATATATGTGTGTGTGTGTGTGTGTGTATGTAGTTTTTGAGTTTTTGTACACTTATATAAATACATCTGTAAGATTAATTCCTTAGAAGTCAATGACTCAATAGGTATATGCATTTAAAATTTTAGTATATATTGTCAAATTGTTCTTCCAAAAGGTTTAACTAACAGAGTGCCACTTTACTCACACCCTTGTGCGAGTATTGCCACGTCACGAGTATTATCTTGTGTGAGTAATACCACTAGGTATTATTGGTCTTATTCATCTTTGGCAGACTGATAGGCAAAAAGTAATATAGCATTATTTTTATTTGCACTTCTTAATTATTTCTGAGCTCGAAAATCTCCATATGTTTTGTTGGCCATTTGTTTTTTCTTTTTGTGAACTTTCTAGAACTTTCTGTGTTAGTTATATTTTTTCTATTTTCCTGAAAGTGTTCTTTTCCTTATTAATTTGTAAATTCTCTTGCATATTAAATTAACCCTTTATCATGTGTTACAAATACTTTTACCCAGCTTGACATTTATTCAATGAGAGGTTTGTTTTGGTATTTTAAGTAATTTTATTTTTCCACTTCTGGAACTTTTTTATCATCCCAAACAGAAACTCTGTACCTATTAAACAGTAACACTCCATTCCCTCCTCTCCCCAGCCCCTGGTAACTGCTATTTTACTTTCTGTCTCTATGAATTTGCCTATTTTAGGTATTTTGTGCTAATGGAATTATCCAATATTTGTCTGTGGGTGGTTTATGTCACTTAGCATAACATTTTCAGAGCTCATCCATGTTGTAATACATATCAGAATTTCATTCCTTTTTATGGCTAAATTCCATTGTATGTGTATACCACATTTTGTTTATTCATTCACCTGTTAATGGACATTTGAGTTGTTTCCACATTTTGGCTATTGTGAATAATTCTGCTATTAACATTGGTGAACAAGTATCTGTATGAGTCCTGTTTTCAATTCTTTTGGGTGTAGACCTAGGAGTATAATTGATGGATCATATGGTAATTCTATATTTAATTTTTTGAGGACCACCAAACTGTTTTCCATAGCAGCTGCACTATTTTACATTCCCACCAACAGTGCATGAGGATTCCAATATTACAATTTCTCCACATCCTCACCAACGCTTGTTATTTTTTCTTTTCTTTTTTCTTTTTTTTTTTTTTTTGATAACAGCTATCTTAGTGGGTGTGAAGTGTATCTCATTATGGTTTTGATTTGCATTTCCCTAATGGCTAATGATGTTGAGCATCTTTTCGTATGTGTATTGGCCATTTGTATATCTTCTCTGGAGAAATGTTTATTCAAGTCCTTCGCCCATTTTTGAATTGGATTATTTGTTATTGTTGTTGATATGGCTTCCTTTTTAATCTATTTGGAATTTATTCTTGTGTAGAGAGTGAGATAGGTATCCAGCTTTATATTTTTTTTCCAAATGACTAGCCATTTATCCCAAATCATTTTTTGAATAATAATCTTTATTAATATATCCTGCTAGTATCATCTTTAGCTATGAAGTACAGGGTTATATGAGGGGACTTCAAAAATTCATGGAAAGATTCGTATTACCTTTCAATCCTATTTTTCCACAAACTTTTTAAAGTACCCTCATATATGCCTTCCACCTCCTTGAAAGCAGAGTTAACTTACCCATTGATACAAACATTTCAGAAGTATAGCATAATATGGAAGAGTCTTAACACATTTAAGAAAACAATTTTGTTATTCCCTAGGTAGCCAGGATTTCCCATATTATTTTCAGGGACAGGAATACCACACTGTATTACAAGATAGGTTGGACCATGCCACAATTACAAAGTGACTCTAAAGTCACAGAGACTTAGCAAAATAAAAGTTTATTTCTTGCTCAAATCTGATACAGTCAGTTATCAGCTCCCTTTCCAGCAGTAATTCAGGAATCCAGCCCGTTTCTATCAAGTTGCTGACCCAGCAGGAACAAATGGCTTCCAGGGTTTTCAAAGCAGAGGAAGAAAGCGATGAAGGAGACGCTGGCTTTTAATTATATTACACTGGAAGTGACACATCACTTCCACTTGCATTCTCATTTGCCAGAACTCATTTACGTGATCCCTACCTAGCTACAAGGGAAACCAGGACACTTTGTCTTCTCCTGTGACCAAGAAGAGGAAACAGAGGGGAGAACACATACATTGCCTTTGTCACACTCACCTTATGCATTTGTGATGTTCCTAAAAATGTTTGGTTCTTATAATTATAACAATTTAGAATGAAATGTATAGAAGCTCATTTTATAGGTAAAATCTAATCCTTTTTAAAGAATTTTTGTGATGTAAGTAATACCCTAATTTCCTGATAGGTTTGCTTAAGTAAAATATAATCACCGCTGTTAATTGAGTGCTTGCTATCTGTCAGCCACCATTCTGAGTGCTTTACATATATTTAATACTCAAAACACCCTATGATGTAGGTGCTAGATAAGGAAATTGAGGCATAGAAAGATTATTTGCTCAAAGTATTACACAACTAAAGAGAGTCACCTAAACAGAAGACTTATATTTTATGCTGTGGGTAGTATGTAAGTCATTATTTGTAGAAGTCAACCGATGATAGCAATTAGAATTATTAAGGTTTGGATTGCTTCCATTAGCATCAAATCTGAAGATCTTGAAATCTTTTCAAAAACATCTGGATTGAAGTCCATCCTATTCAAAGAAGAAGAAAATTATATAGTAGTAGCAGTTGTTATAATATTCATTGTGCTTTAGTGAACTTATACAATTTAAAATCATTCATTATATTTTTTGATGTGTCTAGCAGCAGTGGATTTACTGTGAAGCTAATGAAGCCTAAGCTGTGCAGGTCTCTTCCAAGGCTATTTGATATTCTTATGTATTTTGTATTTTTTCATAAAAAGGGCCCCCAAATAGTATACCCTTTAGGCTCCACAAAACCTGGATACACTCCTGGATTTTAGCACAATTTTGTAGAGAGGTAGCTGTAGCATAAAAGATTAAAAGAATATGTCTTGAAGCCAGATCATCTGGATTAGAATCACCATGTGATCTTGCTTGTTACTTAAACTCTAAGTGTTTTAGTTTGCTCATATTCAAAATAAAGTCTTTGTCGTGTGTAGCACCGGAGTCCACTGTTAGCTTAGTAATAGCTGGCTAGTGTTTTGACAGAGCTTCCTTAAATACCTGGAGCCAAGAAAAGGAAAAAGGAAGAAAAAAAATACTCTCCCAGCTTTTGCTTATTGGCCCTGAGTAGTGGCACTCCTTCGATACTTAGCCAGGCTATTTACAACTCTGCCTTAGCCTTTAATTCCTGCTTGCTCAGAGCCTGAAGGTCAGCTAAAGATGAATAATTAGTGTCTTCTCAGGCTTTCCTAAGCATGCATCCAGCCTTCGGTATGCATATGGCCTTCTTGATCTCCCGGTGTACACAGGAGCCTTTAAAAGCCTTTATTCCCCCATATATCTCTTTTCCTCTTTAGGAAATACAATCTCTTTCTAGCTAGTATTTTTGTTTTGTCTGGTGCTTGTCCCAACTTTATGCCCTACCCAGCTGCCCTTGCCAATACTTTTGCCTTCATATGCTTTCAACAAAAGCCACCATCAGGAAAGCCACCCCAACTGTGGGAATGCTCCAAACTAGGTGAAACAAAAGCTCCCTAACTTTGCCATTTTCAGTGATGTCACTCACCTATACATTTGATAAAGTTTGAGAGTATCTAAAGCTAAGTCTTAGCTAATAAAGCCACTTCAAAGGAAATACACTTTTAAAGAAACTTTAATTACACAAACACACACACATGCAATTAAAATATATTAGGTAAATATATATATATATATATATATATATATATATATATATATTTTGCTTTATGGCTTATAGATTTGGCAAATAAAAATCGATAATGGATTTTCAAAATAGAAAACATTATCTTTGCACTTCTTTGAAGTGTAAGAATAAGATGTTTATTTGAAACCTTATAAATGACCCCCAAAATATGTAGATTTACTTTGTTTGACCACAAACAAAAATAAAAATAACACAAAAACTAAATATGGCTTCAGAGTACCAGTCCATGTCTTGACATTATTGGTAGCATCTGTTAGATGTGTTTACCTCTATCTGCAGATGTTACTGTATCATAACTTTGGTAAATGCATGTGATGAATTGGAAGAGGAAGATGGACAGTGTTAATATTATAAGAAAAAAGTCAACTCATGTGATACTAAATACAAGTAAATATTTAACTATTTTACAATACTTACCATCTGCTTTTTACTTCTAGGTGATATTATAAAAGCAGTAACTGAACTGGATAGAGTACATATCATCGGTATCTTGGATATCTGTAATTTGGGTAACAACAAAGTGGAAGTCTATTTGCAGAAAATTTATAGTCCAGAGAATACTTCTTAAAAATTGGCAAATGAAATTATTACAGGTTATAAAGACAACATTGCTTTAAAGAAATTCTGTCATTTTGTTGGTAATTTCAGTAACTGTTTTCAGCAGGAATAGTACTACATGAGCTTTAAAGTTATTAAGTGGTTTTATGTTCATCTTGTACTTGGAGCTAACACACTTCATTTTAGATTCATTATTGGAAAAGGTCATCAAAACAAGTTTGTGTATCAAAAAAATTTACATTACTTCTAAATGACTATCATCTTGACGTGTGAGAATTTATGTTCTCTGTTCCATTTGTGAAGTATATGTTTATTCTAAAGCCTCAGTATAAGTCGTTCTGACTTACAAGAGTAACTTTTCGTGGAGATTTAACATCCTTCCAATTTTATTCACAACTATTAGGAAATTTTGAATTGCCAATTTGAAGATTAAATTGTCCTAAAGTGGTCAATCTGCGTTTCTCACAACCACAGTAGCTTCTATCATTTTCAAAAGTGCATATGGATTGTTCCAGTTGCCCCCGCTCTATAGTTTGGTCAGCTGTAAATGAGTGGGCCGAATTAAGTTGTCTTAAGGTTTTTCCATCCCATATGTTGACTTCATATTCTCTGAATTTCTGAATATTTTGACCAGTGTATGATGTTAAAGCCAGAGGCTGCGTGTGTCTATATTCTTGCTGTATTCATTTGTAGTTTCAGTATGTGTAATGTGAGTTTAAATAGTGACATGTTATCTCATATTAAAATTATGTGTTCATATTGAAAGTAGAAAACAGTAACTAAGATAACTGATTTTATTCTGGTTATCTATTATACTTCATTTTAAATGTAATTTGCCACTCTGCATTTGCAGGACCCTGTGGTTGACATCTACATGGTTGTTAGATGAGCTAAAATGACCAGCAATTGAGTTTAAAGATTATTGTTTCAAGATGAATCTGATTGTAGTTAAGCTTTTAACTTATGGGATTTTTCCGAGTAGCCCTATAGTTCTGAGACTTCATATGCTATACATTTTAAATGTGTTGGGCAGCCTATGAACCTGAAGATATACTGTGGTTTGTTAATAAATGTGTTCAGTCTTTTATTCTTTATAACTGTGTTTAAATGTTAATTAAAATAGTTGGATGTTACTATTTTGAGTGTACTATTAAAGAAATTAAAATACAATAACGTTTTTATTAAAGAAGTTAAAATACAGTAACTTTTTTGGTCTCCTGTTTCATTCTGAATGTATTTGGTATAGTTTCCTCCATATTTGGGAGCTATATAGTACCTGCTAAATGAGTCAAGAGGATTCTTCCATATGGATTTGAAGACTGTTGTTTATCAAACGAATCTAGATTTTTATGTTAAGCTATTATAACTTTTAGAAGGCAATTCAATGTTAATGCCACATAAATGTTGGAGAGAGGAAAAAAAACTTAAATAGCTATTGACTGAAAACCTCAGGCAGATATTTCAAACCTACACACAGGTTTAATTTTTGTTCTTATATTGCATGGCAAATAAGAATTATTTTATTATTTTAGGAGTTTTTAAAACTTCCCTGGCAATTTATTTTATGTTCTAGTAATGTTTCTATCCAAATTTGGAGTTAAACATCTGTGTCCATATTTCCAGTTGTTGCAAAATTGGGTAGCTAATATGGCAGTTTCCTAAGAAAAATAGCACGCTACCATCAGAAGAATTTATCTTCAAGTAATAATATGTGTTCATTAATTCCAGAGCAGCACAAATATACTACTGTGATGCCACCTTTATATTAACAAATCAATTAGTAAATTATGAAATATTATGTAGTCTACCAAAGGGCCACAGTCTTAGTGAAGTTTCTAATTTTAGCTGACACATAAGATATACACATTGAAATCCTTTGGTAAGCTAAAGGAAAAATCTGAGCATATGTTCTCCCTGTAAACACTTTTATTTTGTTGTAGGAACTATCTTGCGTTTATTCATATTAAGAAAAACATTTTTAAGAAATTTTAAATTCTTATTTGGTGACACTAAAAATATTATTTGATATGGACTATAAACTATAACCCGTTCTTATTTTTCTAAATTCATCTATATGGTTTGTAATTGAGCTGGTTACTATTTCACTAGTTACCTTTTCAGGTACATTTTTTAATTTCTTCTTTGTTAAGCATTGCTACCCAAGAATTTGTAGGTAAACTGATGGGATGTGGAATATGTATCAATCAATCCTGCTTATTTCAGTAATCAACTATTTTTAGTAAAGAATTTTTAGGAAAAAAAAAACTTTAAAATAGGTAAAATAAGATTTGGGAATTATGTGAAATATTCAGTTACTTGAGATTATATTTGAGTTTGTGTTGTCTCTAAAATAGAAACTCTAGTTATAAACTTTTTTCTTTATCCCAGTCATACCACCCACTATATTATCCTTCAGTTTTATATTGACACCACTCCTAGTGCTAAGTTTTTGCTTTCCTTTATACTAAAAAATAATAATAAACAATAGATTTTGAAGTAAACAGATTTAAGGCTAGCCACAGCTATGTCCCTAATTCCCTGTGGGACCTTAAAGAACTCCACTTAAATTAATTGGCCTCAGTTTCCTTATTTGAAAAATTTGCCAAATAATGGTCCCATCTAGTTCTATGATTCTTTTGGTCTATTAATATTATTAAAGCACTGAAAATGTCTTTGAGTTACATTCATGTGTTTTATTAAAATGTGGTTTTCTAAGAAGAACATTTTAAAGTTATTGAACCATTATCAATTAATCAATGATAGCAGCTCGCTGTAACCAAAAAATAAACATTGAAATCTTCTAATTCTAGTTATTTTTATCACTAGTGTTTCTCCTACTTTGTTGCCTGTTCAGTATTTTACGTATATACGAGGTTACTTCAAAAAGTTCATGGAAAGGTTTGATTTATCTTTTAATTCTATTTATTCCACGAATTTTTTGAAGTACCCTCATTGGTATCTTTGAAACGGAAATCTGAAATATATTAGCTTTTTAAAAATGATATGCACATTTTTCATTGAAAAGCAAGCAACTTTTATTTTTTTAAAAAAAGGAGTACCTCTGATGGTTATTCTATGGTTATTGTATCTCTTACTAGCTTAAGATCTAGAAGGTGCTCCTAACAAGATTTTAATATCTATTTTGCACATGGGGAACTGAAATTTTAAAAAAGACTAAATGACTTAATGTAAAATAGTCCAGACAATTGAATTGTAAGGTCAAGCTTATATTCCAAAGTCTGTTTCTTTAAACTCTAATTTGAGCACAAAGTAAAATGTTTGAATAATAATACAATTTCAGTTAGTATGTCAGGTCACTATGAGATTAACTCTAAACCTTGGGGTTCATAAAATAATGAGACAAATTGTTGTAGCATATATCCAAATATCTGAGTGCCCACTCTTTGGGCTATTGGGTTAGGAATAGGAACACAATACTATACAAGAAAAAACTGACATGGCTCCTCCTTTCCTGGAATTTACAGTGTTGTGGAGGAGAAAGATATTCAAATAATTGCACAAATAAGTGAGATAAATGTCACAAATAAAGGTATGTGGTTTATATTAGAGCTTTTTAACAAAGGGGGGAGGGAATAGTTGTTTCCAAGGAAGTGAACTTGAAGTACAAACGACTTGCAGCAGAAGGAGTGTTTGAGGCATTAATGACTGATATGGCTGAGGTGCAGAAAGTGGGATGCAAGATGAGACAGGCAAATAGACAAGGGCACTTGCAAACTATACAGAGCCTCAGAGGCCATGGTAAGGACTTTAGTTTGTATCTTTAAAGCACCAGGAAGCCATAAATGGTTTGTGGCCAGTATATGGTATGATTCAATTCATGTTTTAGCATGGTCACTGCTGGACGGAGAATGGATTATAAGGAGATTGGAAGAAACTGGTAGCTGTACCCCAGTGCCTGTTCTCTCCTATAGTAATAGATCTCCCAATTTTTAGCTGGGCACATGGCTACCTACAATAAAGAATACTTTTCCCTGCTTCCTTTGTAGCTAGATATGTATGACTTTGTGACTAAGTTCTGACCAATGGGAGTGTATACAATTTCTGAATCTTTCCTTCAAAGGTTGAGAGAGAATGCTCTCGTTCCCTTTTCCGCCTTTCTGCTGGCTAGAATGTGAGCACAGCGATGAGACATCTTGAATTATACAGAGAAGCACAACACCTTAGGGATGGATGTCAGAGCAACTAGCTAGTAGGAGCCTCAGTCCCTGTCACCATGCAGCTGCCATACCAGTTTTGTACTGCTTATCTGTTTTGGCTGTTACATGAGAAAAAGATAAACTATCTCTTTTAAGCCACCATTATTTTGAGTCTCTGAACAGAAGTCAAACCTGTATCCTACTAACACAGGAGGCAAAAAGTGAAAGCGAGGAGACCAGCTAGGTGACAAATGAGATTGAGAGAGGTGGATATATTCAATAAAAATTTTGAAGGAAAAATTTAAAAACATTTAAAAATTCTAGTAATATTAGTTTGAAACAGTACTATATAGTAGTGGTTCTCAAACTTGGATTCATATTGGTATCACCTGGGAGGTTTTAAAAATTACTATGCCTAAGACTCACCCCTAAGTCTCTGTTTGGGGTGCAGCCCAGGCATCAAAATACTTAAAAGCTCCCCCAGTGATTTTAATGTGCAGACAAGTTTAAGAACATTGGTATATGGTACTGTTTCAAGCATTTGTTAGTTTTATTAGAGCTCAGGCTTTACACAGTACTTTCAATTTACATCCTATTCAGGTGCTACAATTTCATATACTCTCAGCGCAGCTTTATCATGAATTATGCTGATGGGAAAGAAAAACTAGAAACTGATAATTTCATTTTCATAGAGTTCTATCACATCAAATCTGGAAAAGACTTCATAGAAAAATTCTAGTCCAACCTCTTTTATTGCACAAATGAAGAAAAAGGCCCAGAGAGGTTTTTATTTTTCCAAGGATATGATGATAGTTGTTGCAGAGTCGGCACTTGTGGAAACTTTTGGTTTACAAGATACTTCATAAATGTTCAAAGTACCACCTAAAGTACAAATAAACGTCAAATCTTTATAGATTGGAAGTTGAAGCACAGTGAGGTTGAAATAAAATAACAACAACTAAACTTTCGAAACCAGAACTATATCCAATTACTATCCATCACAGACAAGTTGTATGAGTTAAAGTTTTTAAACTTGAAAGTGCATAGGAATTACCTGGATAGTTTATTTAAAATGCAAATTCCTAGGTTTTCCCTCAGATTCTGAATCAGGGTGACGGAGGGTGGGACACAGGAATCCTCATTTTAAGGGATTCTAATGTAGGTCTTCGGCAGAAAAAACTTTAGAAGTACCCAATAAACACTTAGACCACTTTCCCTCCAAGAAATTACCTTAAGAGTTAAAAAGAAAATTGCATTGATCGGTATTTATTACTCCAGGACAAATTTTACTCAAGTGCAAATTTTTAAAAATGATTTAAATTTATCTTTGCAAGTTATGACTCTTTGAAAGCCATAAAAGGAAAACGTAAAAGCGCTTATATATGAGGTATATAATGCTAGTTACCATAAGTCATGCATTTCAACCTCCAGAGCAATTTAACCTAATAGTTTAGTAAAGTTCTCTTTAATACACCAGCACTGCTCCAAAGTGTTATGGGAAAGTTGTCATTTTTAAGCACATAATGATTTAACTTGTGCAAAAATATAATGTGAATATTTGAAACTAATGTTAAGATTATTTTTAAAAATTTGACTTCTAATGGACTTAGCTAACCTCTCGCTAATGTTTTTCAACTATTTTATGAGAACTTTTTCCTTTAGGAGCAATTTAATAACTAAGAGAAAAGGTGAAATCAAATTTCTGGGACTTTACTAATTATTTTCATGTCGAATACTGATGTTGAATTTATCACAAATGACCATCCATCAGCAATCAGCAAGCTAATGGTTTTGACAATAATATTTATAACAACACTAATAACATTTCTGTTTTCAGACTGATTTTCTTTGTCTAATGAGTACAGGCTTTAATACCATGATCTTTAACAAATCAAAATGGTAGTGCTAATAGCAAAATGATAAACCATTTGTGTTTATTCCTAAATAGACCATAAGCTAATACACAAGACCTTTGCACTTTTCAGTTCAATTACATGAATTATTAAGTGATTACTATGCGTAAGATACTGTTAATACCAGATACTGT